GCTTTTTAGAATAATCAAATCCAATGCCCCCTTTGTCATAAATACTTCTTTGAGATTTTAAGATAGAATCAAAATTTTCTTTACTCAAAGTAAATTTGGAAATCACATTCTCAAGATCACAAACTTTTCTCTTTAAAACCTCATTTTCCTTCTTTAAATCTTCATTTCCTTTCTTTAAATCCTCATTTTCCTTTTTCAAAGCATTATTAGACTCCTCATTCTTTAAAGAAGCAATCTCACCATTTAAATAAGCATTCTCTTTAACTAAAACCTCATTTTGTTTTGAGAGAGATTCAATCTCATTCCTAAGCAGTGAAATGGTTTTAGTAAGAGCAATATTCTCATTTCCTAGTTTCTTAATGTGATTCATAAAGCAATCAAGAACTTTGCATAAATCATCATAAGAATACTCAAATGAACTTTCATTAATTGAACTAGAGAAGTTAGAGTTTACCTCCTCATCACTATAGCTATCCTCTTGAGCCATGAAACAAAGATTTGCAACACCATTTTCCAAGGAGCTTTCACTTTCCGTTGAGTTAGTCTCATCATTGCTCCAAGTGGCGGTAAAAGCTTTCTTCTTCATGCTCTTCTTGTTTTTCCTTTCACCCTTCTTCAATTTGGGACATTCATTTCTATAGTGCCCCATCTTGTTGCACTCATAGCATTTCACACTCCTTTTGGTAGACTCTCCTTCATCTTTTTTTGCAAGCTTGCTCTTGATGTTCTTCTTCATGAATCTCTTCACTTCCTTTGAAATCAATTTGGTGATGTCCTCCTCATTGCTATGCTCATCATTACTAGCATCATCTTCATTCTCTTCCTTTTGGTTGCTAGCCTTGAAAGCAACATTCTTCTTCTTCTTCTCAACTACTTCAACTCCACCATCAACTTGAACTTTTATCTCATATGTTATCAATTTTCCAATGAGATCTTCAAGTTTGAGGGTGTTGAGATTCTTAGACTCTTCAATTGCAGTCTTCTTGGCTTCCCAATTCTTGGGCAAGCTTCTAAGAACCTTCCTCACTACTTCTTGAAAAGGATAGACTTTACCAACAGCCTTGAGATTGGTGTTTAAATCCCATGGTTGTCATCAATAATTTGGTTAAAAGCTCTGTCATAACTCAAATTTTTATCAAAAAAAAAAATTTTTTTTTAAATCAAAAAATATAAAAAATATGAATTTTTCCCTTTTATTTAACTAAGCTATCTATATTTTTATTTTTGTTTCAGGGACTACATGCAAAAAGACAGTTAAGAAGAAATTGGAAAAGAAACTCAAGAAAGAGGACTCAATCGAAGAAATTGAAAGGCAGAGGATGAAAACTACCAAAATCCACAATCTAGCCCAAACCCCATTATTGAGCCCACCAGCAAATTTAAACCAAGGCCCAAACCCAACCAAAACCCACTAAATTATCCAAACCCAAATACCAAACCCAAAAAAAGGAAAAAAGGGGAAGGCATCTGGAGCTTTCCCCTTCCCCCATCAATTTATTTTATTTTATTTTTCTTCTCTCCCGAACCAGCCCTGCCTAGCCTTGCACTAGCCCGCGCCCACTGCGCCCCTGCTCCTGAGCCCCTGTGCCCCTACACCGCGAGCCAGCCCTGCACCCTGCGCCTCTCCCTTCGCCCACACCCGAGCCCAGATCCTCTGCACGAACCGGCGCCCCCTGGCCTCTGCGCGCCTGCTCTCTGCGCCCAATCACCAGCCCTGCATCGAGCTCGCCTGCTGCACCAAATCCCCTGCCCTTTCTGCGCCCAGATTGCCTACAATCATACCCCCCTGTTGCACCAGATCCCCTTGCCGCCTGCTGCGCCAGCATCATGACCCTGCACCGAGCCTTGCTGCACCCCTGCTGCTCTGCCCCTGCACGCTATAGCAGCTCCAGACAAATTAGCATTGACAGAGCAAGGCTTTTTTTATTATTTTATCTTTGTTTGGGTATATATATAGAGAAAAATCAGATTGAAAGGGGGGTGGTTGGTAAAGTTTTGGAGTTTGCTTAGAGGGTGTTGTTGGTTGATAGGGGGTTGGAGATTGATTTTGGTTGTTTGATTTTGGGGGGATTTGATTTTTTCTTCTTGGTTGATTCTGGGGTTCTCTTGGTTGTTCTTTTTGGTCTGAGTTTGGGGTTGCCGGAGGTGAGAGCAAGAGAAAGGAGATCACCGGAGGAGACT